TGTTAGATACTACTGCATAATTTTATTTAGTTTATCTCATTTTTCGTGTATTACGTGTACATCTCATTTTTTCCATTCTTATTTTTACATTCTCTCTCTTTGGTCCCTTACCTAGTATTATACCTCTGTAGTTTATTTCTATATGTTTTCTCCTTTTCTTGGCCTAAAATAAAAATTTTTTTTAATTAATGTATGAACAAATTATGCAGTTCTGTTGTTCAGCGTGTCATAATCCATTAGCCATGTATGACTTATTTTTGTTTGCACACTTCGTGTGACGTAATCGCGTGTTATCCTCGCCCTTTTGTTGATATTGTATATTTTCCATTTTAGTGATACATTTGTTTTTACCTACATTTTCTTTCAATATGTATTTATTTTTATACCATGTAGCCCAGAAAAAGACATCTGCAGGATGTCGAAATATTGGATTTTGTAGATTATAATTGAAATACAGTCATGCTCTATTTCCAAATTTTTAGCGTTTTTTATTTAACTGCTTTGGTTTTGCTATTATTATTATTTAGGCTGTTTTCAGTAGCCCAAATCTAAATAGCGTCAAGATTATACTAACGATTAAGCAGATATTCTTAACCTCTCCCAATACATGAATGCAGAAGTCTTCAGCACAATTGTGTATGCATAAGATCGAGCACGCGTCAGGCAGAGCACTCACGAACAAGGTGAAAAATAAATGATTAATTACACTGCCTTGCAGCATACCATACGTTCAAAACAATGTTTGGGTAACCTTTCGTCGAAATAGACAGACTCCAGAAGTGTGTCATGTTTATGGTCCATAGATAATCGTATATCATTGACAATCTTCGTAAGATCAGTGTAGGTGCTACGTAGTTTCCAAAAGCCCAACTTACATTCGTTTAGAAGCAAGTTTTCATCTTCTTTTGCAATTATTTGTGTGTAAGTAATAGCTTTAAGAAATTTTTAGGCTCAGCAAAGAATGCTGATCGGCTGGAAGATATTAGCAGTGGTTGCTGGATATCTCTTGGGCACTACAATAACCAGAGCCCTTCTTCAAGTAGCAAAAAAAAGTCCAGTCGCAATGAAGCATTTAATATGTTCGAAGTTACTAGTAAGATAACAGTTATGCATCATTTGATAAAGCTCATTGATAGGCCGTCTGGTCAAATGGCATTTGTATAAGAGGATATAAAAGCTTGCAGATCTCTTTAAAACCAATAAGTTTGTAGTAGAACCTGTTATCTGGCAAAATATATGTACAGAGTCGCATATTATGCAGTCAAGCAGGGTCATCTAATCCCACTAAGTTTAATTGACATTTTTAGGTAAATCAAGAGGCTGTTTGGAGTTCTTCTTACTTTTAGTGAGACAAAGATCGTCAATGATTCTCTAGATATCAGTGGCGTTACGGAAAAAGCTAAGTCTTTCACGATGATAAGCATGTTGCGCATTACGTACAGTATTCTGGATAAAATCACGTAGGTGCTTATATTCATTGGCCCACACTGCATCTCGACTGCACTAGTAAGAACTCCATGCACCTTTCCTTAACCAAATGAGACTGGTAATACTCAAACTCATCCAAGAAGAAGGTTCTTTCTTCTATTTGATAATGTGGTATGAAGCATGTCTGTCAAATACTGACAGGAGAGTATGAAAAAACAGCTTAACCTTCACGTCAACAGTAGGCGTCTCAATGATTGAACTGTGGTCGATTAGAACAAAATTTGCGAGTACAGACTCTTTATGAAACCCCTTGAAATACTACCTAAATCGGAGTGATGGTCTTGCTACTTGTCACAGAAGTATGAAGATCTACTAGTAGCTTATCATGACGAGATATCCAAGGGTTGTCAAGTTATGTGTCAGAAACAATATCCCGAGAGAGGCTTGTATAAATGAATTTAATCATTGACTACAAGCTGCTGACTCGATGATCAAAGTGAATTATATTTGAGCACTTTGAAAGTTTTACAAGTAACATTTTCACGCTCATTTGTGTGAGAATTTACGCATTTTTATTACGATCTCGATTGACACATTTTATTTTCATAAACTGTGGCACAGAATCCATACACAACATTATTGTTACAATCTTAAGCAATGTTGCCGAAACCTTGACATTTGTAGCAATGCATCAAACTAATGTAAAAAAAGCGACAATGCAGCCCCCCTTTTCAGGTAAAAACGTGAACGCCTGAATACGTAGACATGAGTAGCTGGTGTGACTTGAACAAAACAAGACCTACGTTTTTTCTGCCCATAAGTTACATGTAGGTTAATAGGACGTCATCAGATAAACATGCAGGCAGATTTTGGTTAGTTATATTTTCAACTATCACTTCCTTAGATGATTAAACCGATAGATAGTCAGCAATATTGCGAGATAACAATTTATCTTCTTCCTTGAAGCTCAACAATTCCAACGTTATTAAGAGCTGAGCAGGTAGTTAGGGCTGCGAGTCTGTTACTTTTAATGATAACCTACTTTATAGCTAGCATATTCACACGATCCACTCAAATTTTCGGGTTCAATACTCTTACCTTGCTCTGTAGCGTACTCTTTGTAACTTGAATCAAGTTGAATTTATCATATTCGTTTGCACTAGGGCTAACTACGACGCGCTCAGCTTTAGAAATAAGAATCACTTTGTCTCTGTCTAGCAAAAATTTAAGTTTAAAGGTGGTTCATTTTGACGTAGAGGATATTCGCATAAAAAGGTAATACTGAAGCACTATTTCCAGCAGCATTAACCGTCGACTGGCGAAGACTACCAGCTGCCCAAGATATGGAGCAGCTAATTTCTTGAAGCTAAAGTTTTTCATGCCTTAGAGGTACGCTCTTCAGCCAGTTCATCGTTGCTAGGCAACAGAAAATTTAGTAATAGCATCGCAGAACGTGTTAGCAGCATCAAATAGAGCCTGTATCCTAGTGGTCACTTTTTTTATTTTTATAGAAAGCAAGATAATTTCACAGTAATCACTCGTGCTACTAAGCAGCTTGACAGCGCGGCGTCCTCATTAGTAAGTCTTGTGTGCATGAGGCAGCTGTTGGGGAAACATAATCAGAGAAGCTATTTTCCTTGCTACTCTCACCTATAGCTCAAGTCAGCAAGTACCATCACCTATCAAAACACAGTAGCAGACCATCTAGTCAGGCATACACGGTAGAAAATGAATTCACCTATTCAATCCTTTAACATGACAACTCCATTTTGGCTAGTAAGCTTACGTAAAGTTGAAATAATAAATGGTGCAACCGTACCTGCAACAAAATGCCCGCAGGCAGCTGATATGTAGGTTGATAATGGAGCAAGTTAAAAACACAACCACTGTAAGACTCACTTCTGCAAGAGTCTCGGTATGGTATACTTGCCAAGACGAGAAGGACGAAAAAATCTATAGAACGTTAATTTTCGTCATTTATGCAGAAGTGTTAAAGTTTCTTATGTGTTAAAGTTAGTGGATAGTATCTCTCATCATTGTTTAAATAATGGTTATTTCCCTTAGCTTGTTCTGGATTTATACTCTTGCAGAAATATACGTGTATTAGTCTACATCATCCATTATTCAACACCATGCATTTGACTAGCTTGCTACAAGAATTAATCATCCAAACTCATACTGGTTGAAAAATCTTGCTGTAACTGACTCAGTCATGTAAAAAAAATTTTGTAGAGGTTTTCCACATCTTTTTAGCTGGAAGAGACACAATCGATAACTAACGAGTTTTTTTTACATTTTGCCTTATGAAACATANCCCCCTATTTTTGCTTTACCTGAGATTCAGTGAGTGAAGAACAACTTGACTATTGACTCGTAATGTAAAAATTTTTTTATCTATTCTTGACACTCACTATAACTAACGAGTTTTTTTTACATTTTGCCTTATGAAACATAAAAAATTATCTTAAAAAAAGTAATACTAATAATACTAAAAAATGTTTAAAAAATTTTGATAAACTATTTATGATGTAAAAATAGGGCAAAATTATTATAAACAACAGATATACAACCTTGAACAAGCTGAAAAGTTAATGAAAGAACTTACTTGTCTTCAATATTAAATAAAATGTCACATTACTTTTTAACTGTTATTGTTTAATTTAAATATTTTCTCACACATTTTTATGAACTCAGATTCAACATAAGCATCAACTATATTGTCTAACTGTCTAACATCTCACTTATTTCAGTGGTTCTAGCGAAGTAGAAGGCAAAGTAAAGCAGTTTCGATTGGTAGACTTATAGACTGATGTAATGTACGTTTATCCTATTTCCGTTTAAATCTGACAGAATTTTTCTTCATCATTTTGGTATCGGATTTAATGGATCTGTTTTTCATAAAAAGTTCTAACTCTCTGTAGAACTATACATGCATTTCTTATGGATAGTATGTGTGTATCATGTTTTTTAGCATTAAGAAGCTTTCATTAGATAAGAAATCATGTAAGCTTAAAGTCTGTGAAAATCCAAATTTTTGTTTCAACTCTTATATAATATAGATCTAAAATAAAAATCATTAGAATACAGATTTTAACACGAAGTCCTTTGTACACTCCTCAATTTTGTAATCACATAAATAAGAATTTTGCTATGATAGGGATTCTGGCAGAGTCGCATATTATGCAGTCAAGCAGGGTCATCTAATCCCACTAAGTCTAAGTTAATATAAAGTGATAAAGTTATGTATAAAACAATAAAATAAAAAAATTAAAGATCCCGTTCTTATAAAATTTCTTATAACGTATAATTATCTTGGTATTATTACGTAAAAAGAGTTTTAAAAAAGTTAGTCGTAAAAGACTAATGATTAATTTTGATAAAATTTTAACATATAAATCTATGTGAAATTTTTAAGAGGGACCAACTAATAAATTTACGCTTAGCTAGTGACAGTTTGTTTTTAGTTTATTTTTTCACGAATAATAAATACGACTTCTGTCAAAGATCACGTGTACTAAATTATTAAAAATTTCGAAATTCGATGTTTACTTAGTAAGATAGATAAAACTTACTTAAAGTTCAGGTTTTTAAATGAAAAATGAACTTCGACAATACCAGTTGTTTTTACTCTAGTTCGAAGAATATCTTGTTCTGTTGGTTGGTATTCTCTGGCTCCAAGTCTGTCAAGATCATCCAGAAAGCTAGAAAACATTAATATAATTTAGATTTAGTGATAAAGGCTCAACAAGTATTTTAATAACCTAACAAAGGTAATTGTAAGAATTATAATTTTATTTTTTTTATACATATATTTCTTTGATTGTAATAGTTCTCAATTAAGTTAAAAAAAGTTGGGTATCAGAACATGACCTAGTTTTACCTTAATCCAATGAATAATCTGACATTCTACTGAAACTCATTGAAAAACATGGTATCAAAAAATTCGAAAGTGCATATTGCTGATCCGTTTTACAGAAATACATAAATTGAAAAAATGAATACCAAACGAACGTGTCGTAAGCTGATTTTATTACGTAATAAAGCTCAACCAATAACGCACTCTGCTTTTGTGGCATTTTTTCACCTTTATAACCTCACATTCTTTCTAGAGAGAACCTTAATATGTCATTAAAGTATAAAATTCATTGAAGTATGATGGAGTTATGCTTTCGTATACAGTTCTAGCTGTGAAGGTAACGTGTTCAAGACAATGTAGCAATTATCATGTTTTAATAATACTAACAGTGTAAGCAGTTTGGTATTAAGTACTAGGTATGTATTAAAAGTTACGTACTGTAATTTTTTGCCATTTTTAATTATAAAAATTTTATTTTTAAAAAATTGCAAACAATAATCAAAAACTATGGTTGATAGTGATATTACATATAAATATTTGTCTTTCTTGTATTTACCTATAGAAGCTTATTTAATAATGTTAAAGCTACTTACATATCGTACTATACCAATTTAGTATGGTAACAAATTGACATGTCTACAAATTACCACAGGTATTATTATTTAAATTACGACAAAGTCATACTGATTGGAGTTAAATTTTAGTTGTCAAATGAAAAAAAGGAATTTTTCGTTTCAAACAAAATTAAATTGAAGATTTAAATTTTACTACCAGAAGCATAAGATGTAATTTATTCGCTGCGAAATCTCAAGTCAACACAAAGACGAAGCTTACTTATAACAAAAATTTTGTTCAGAAAAAGTTTGCAATTTTAATGCTTTTAATGCTGTACACATAGAAGTACGTTAAATAATAATAGACAGCCGATTAAGGTAAAAAATATTCACTTAAACTTAACTCTCTATTTACAACGAAAATTGTCTATTTGTATTAATACCGACGCTTAATACATTGTATGCAAAGGTAATTAAATAAAGTAAAAAACAGTAAGTTGACAGTATTTTTTCATAAGATATATTTATAATTATTTAGCTTTATAAAACTTTCACAACTATTTTTTGATAAGGATGCACTCTTTTTATAAATAGATATTGGCGACAAGGAGTTCTAATCAACTGAGAAATAACTGACGAACTTTTATCATAAAGAAGAGGCAGCAGAACACAATTCAATTTAAATAGCGTTTCACATAGACGTGAGATATTGTACAAGATAACATTAAAGAATATTGTGTTAAGCATGTATACTACTTAGATCAAAGTAGTTTTAATTATAAAATTTTTAGCAGTTGTAATTTTAATATGGATGAATGAAAGTGTATATGCTAGGTAACTACCGCCAACAGTGACGTATCAGTTGTCAAAATGCCTTAATAGGGGGGTGAGAAAAGCTTAACAGGTATGTGATAACCATGTACAAAGAGTTACTTTATTTTTAAATTTTACGTGATCATATAATGCCGAAAGGGGTGTGAATGTTTGTGATGGTTGAATTTGGTATCCAAGTAGTAATAACAAGTGTGTTTTTACAAAACAAGTAATCTACAAAGCTGAAATCTTATGAAATAAACTGACTGTACGGAATCAATTTAAGCGCATGAGAGCAACAGAGAGGTCAGGTCTGCTCGTTACTCTCTCTTGCTCTCACGTGCTCAAATAGATCCTTACAGCTCATAAAATTCTGACTTTGTAGAAAAACTGTCTTTTTAAAATGCTCTCGTTTTGAATTTTTGGATGACTAACTTCACTGTCACAAATATTTTTACCACTTGCAACGTCCTATAATCACGTAACACTCGTTAACAAAATTGCTCTATTTACATCGTTACCACATACCTATTCAGCTTCTTTCACCTCTCTACTAAAAAATACATCCGTGAGATGGCACGGGCGTTTCACACCATAGGTAGTTACCTAGCGTATAAACAGCATTGTTAAATCGGTGTATTACGTCTTTTATTAATATACTTTAAAGCCAATTTTACTCACTAGACGATAACTTATATCAATTTTATCGTTAGTTATATGAAAAGTGAAAGAAACGTCAACGAGTAAGCTCAATTTATTTAAAGTTGTAAAGACTCACGTTTTGGTTCCTAAATACAAAATAACTATTTATAAGAAGCTCAAAAACTTTTATGAATAGTTTTTATAACTATCCACAACTATACAGAGGTTGTACTCTAAACTGTGACTCCACTATTTGCAGTAAAAATAAAATTAGTTAAATGATTTTAATAAATATGCAAGCCAATATTCAAAATGTATCATATTGTATACGTGCGTTATCTACTTCATGGATATTAAGAAGTTAGTAAAATCTTCCTTTAACACTATGGAGTATAATCTTTCCATGAGAATTGAAAATTAAGAGTACTGATCCTATCTAACAATTGTTTAATCAATTTTACAATCGTACGTAAACTAGCTGCCCCCTATTTTTGCTTTACCTGAGATTCAGTGAGTGAAGAACAACTTGACTATTGACTCGTAATGTAAAAATTTTTTTATCTATTCTTGACACTCACTAGAATTACAATTTTTTTAACTAAAAAAAGTGTTCTTTGGAATCCGTGCAGTTTTAACCGAGTAAGTAAATGAAGAAATAGAAAAATGCTTAAAAGTACAGTCTGGCCCGCTGTTATAGCCCGAGACTGGTCTCGAGGAAAAATACAACGTTCTGAAGTATTGGAGCTTGTTAAAGTGATCTTTTACAATGTCTCGTCGTATTAAGCTTGAGAAGTTAGCGTCCAAAGCTCCCTGGTTTTAGTCGAAGAAACTCAGTCGTTTAAGTGGTCCACGGTGGAGATTGGTTCGCGTTGCTTGCCTGCTGAAGACTGTTCCGTTTGCTCAAGCTTATCGCTTCTTTATAGCTTGAATATAAGTTTTGCTAAACGCAAATCTTAAAAAGAATCAGGGATACAAGGTTAAATGCTTAAAATTGAGAGTGTGTAATGCAGGATCGTTAGTGGTTGGGGTACCTAGCCTTGTATTAAAAAACTCTACTTGTGACGTCTGCCAGTGAATGACTGACATGGCCGGTTTTCTATCATCTATAAGTGGGCAATTCGTTGTCGAAATTTACTTTAAAATATTTTTGGAAATAGTTATAAAAAAATTTTTGTTAACAATGTAATTTAATGTTAGATTGCCCTTAAAAGTGATGCATTTATTCGGAGGCTGATTATGTTTCTAGCAACTGTGACTACCCAAACTCCTTAGAGTTCGTCTGCTTAGCTTGCTTTAGCAGCACCAAGTTTGTCAGAAGAATGATCACGATAATTGATCGTAAGCATTATGCCAGGGACATTAAAATTTACAATGCCTTTGTTTTTATAGTTTTTGTTCATTTTTGCGATTTCATCGAATGGAAATCAGCATAGGTTGCCAGCCCATTTCTAACTGTCAGAGTATCGTCGGTAGCTGGGGTACCTAGCTGCATGACTAAAAACTATGTTCTTCACGTATTGTCTTAAACGACTACGACAATTGTCATTCTGTTCAAGCATATTACAACCAGTCTCACTGGCTTTCATGTCAGGAAGCTTTAGTTTAAAAAACAAAATATGCGAAAACCATCTAGGAACTGTCATGAATCAGTATACAAAATTCGATCAAAACTGGTTGAGTAGTTTTTGCAATTACCAATTACAACAGTTCTTGAGACTTTTCTTTATATATTAGTAAGATGAATATTTATAATGTAAAGTTGAGGAATATTACACATTAATTTAAAAAATCATACTTACGCGTAATTTAAACACTCAAGCCCTTGCTTTCCACAAAACTCTCTCATCAAAATTTTTTTTTACTATTCCTCTTAAAAGGGCCTCTTCAGGGCTTCAAATGCTTTATCCACTGCAAGACAGATACTTTTACAACAACGAAGATAAGTACTACGTAAACATGGCTTGTGGCCTAGAAGTCAGATGGAAAAAAGTAGGTCAAATGACTTTTTTAGCCTCAATTCAATTTATCTGCAAAAATCAGTTTATTTATGCCCATTTAATAATGCTTAAGGTTTTCTAAAAAATTAACTCTTTGCTTGATTTTATTTATTTATAATTAAGTGGAAAAACTCAATTGTCTCACTTCTCTGAAATATGTTTTCTCCAATGCATAAATCAGTACGTACCAACAATAAAAAATTGGTAGAGAATGAAATTATTTTTAATATAAGATGCGTAACAATAGTTTATGAGCCTTTTTTACTCCTACAGAGGATTCAAAGTTGGAAAGAAGAATTTTGTAAGACATCCCATAACTCAAAATAAAATTATTTGCAAGCTTAAAATTTTCAGAAAATGTTGCTATGATTGATAACAAACAAGCGTACTGAATTTTAAGACGATCACATTCAACGTTTTTGAGTTTGTAGCAATCACACTTTTTGCGAGTCTAAGCTTGTATTTGGTGATATACGACAGCAAACATGCTTTAAATACACCAGCAGGGGCTCAAAAAATTGTGATTGCGTCAAGCAAGGCTCAAGATATTAAGAATTCTGTTCAAACTACTGTGGAGTTGACTGTTTAAACAGTAAGAAAGATTTATGCGATGAGATCAACAGCGATAAGATCTTAAATGATGCTGAACAAGCTAAAATTGTAAATATTTTCATGATTCTTTCACTGGAAGATTCAGTTTAAGAATTTGAGTTTCGAAATACAATTCCATACAAAAATAATAAATACATTAAAATATGTGCTGCAGTGACATCCCATGTTATACTTTAATCATTATAACTTCAAAACACCCACCTCGATTCTGAAATTATAAAAATTAA